AGCTTCGAAGAAAGAATTCAATGAGAATTTGTTTACATCACGCCTAATAATAATAAAACGTGTGACTTTTCACGGACCTTTCGAAAATTCGACCGAACGCGGTATACGCGTTTGTTTAGATTCCGAGGACCTACACTGACGTTTCATTAAAGTTACCGTTAAAATCGCACGACGTGAGGTAAACCTGAGCCTGCGGCGCCTCAAAGCTAAATTGTTTCGGCTTTATCGGCTCTAGGACGCAAGTGAGTCACAGCTGAAAACTGTCGATCATTGTCGTAGAAAAAAAATATATATAAATCAGGTTGGTTACAATTAATATTATCCCCATTTAAGCTGTATAATCGCTAAATATAAAATTCATGGCAACAATGGCAAACCGCGGCGTTATGATCTAATAAATATTTAACTCGATAATAATATCTGATTATGATGAAAAAGTCCGGTGTGGCTGTTATTACTCATGTGGCTTAGCTTTACGCGCAAAACACCGAGAAGTTGCAAGTCACTCGTTAATAGGTGCGATGGAAAAAAATCTATTTCCTATGTGCGCAATATAATGGGTTGGTAAATTTATTATTATCAGGAACAATTACAAACTAACGATGAATAATAACATATCTATATAATATACCCTGGAGATAATGCCTTTTTTTCAGGTTTGCCAGGAACGCCCAATTAAATAACAAAAATTAGAACAAAAAGTATTTTACATTTTAATAATTCCACTATCCCCGTCATTGTACAATAACATCTCACGTCTGCCTCTGATCTGAAGCCTCGCATCGATCAATTTATTCGTATTTTACTGAGGGACATTGCCCGTGAATTTCATTGTCGTTTGTGCGTGTGCGAGTTAGTTTAACACTTTGTGTGGTCAAGTGTATGGCACGTGTTTTTATGGAAGGCAGTAGCATTGTGCATTGTGAGCATAGAGCGGCATAAGGCGTGACCACAGGTTGAGCCTATTTCTGCTACTACAACGCGTATTGCCGCTTACTAGCTTAATGAAGATTACGACTGTTTATTTATTTGATTGTCACCACAAAGTTTCCGATGTCTGATAATTAGAGACAGATTAACAAAATATAGTGGCAATAAAAAAGTCTACGTACCACATTCAAATGCATTATGCCACATAAGAATATTAGTTTTTTCAATATTTGAGGTTAATTTACCTATCTATCTTTTCAGATCGTAGCCAACTATGATACCCATTTAAAAAAACATAAGTTTACTCCATAGCTTCGTAATCACAAGATCGAAAAATTCATATATTCCAGTTTTGACTTATAACCCTATGCCCTATGACATCAGCGTCTGTGTCTATATCTGCAAAAAGCGACTTCAAAGGCAAGTTGGAAACAACTACTCTGCGGACTAAAGCCCCGACTAGCATTGAATTACATCCGCAATATCTTCTACACACGTTATATTTCACCCATATTATTCAATAATTTCTTAAAAAACTATAAATAATATATCCAAATGTGATGAATAAATGAAACTACTAAAATCATTAAACAATGTAAACTTTCAAAATATATGTTCTCTTTGAAAGTTAATACATTGTAAGGAAGTAAAAGTACAGAAGTTAATATAAAAAAAAGCTCAAATTTGGCTCATCCTAAAAACACGACCAAAATCGTTTACAGTATTACATCAGGAAACCATAACTTTTTACTGACAATTAATTTTTATTTGTCTTAGTCTCAAGTATATTTTTGTCTACATAATTTTTTGAGACACCCTGTATACTCCACCATTTTGCTTATGTTTGCGATTCTAAAAAATATATCGACACGTGATTTACAGGATGTTTTCACTGGCTTGTTTTTAACTAAGCAACGAAAAAATATGATTCCATTTTAAATTTTCAAAAAAATACGAAAATTTCATCCATTTTTCAAAAAGTTAAACAGTTGTAACGATACAAACAAATTATTTTTTTTTTAATATAAACGTAATTATGTAAAACATTCTCTTTCTAACGAGACGAAGTTTATTAATTTTGGTTGAGTCAAATCGAAGACATTTCTTTCAATTTTTTTTCTTTTTCCTATTTTATGTTTCTCATTGTTTTGCTTTCATGAAATATGGCCGATGATTTTTCTTATTTGGACAGGCAGTACATTATTCTAAGGGTTAGGTTATATCTCACCGACACTCAAAACGTATATACCTATTTGCAAATAATATAAATTCTAAGAAAAATTATAGATTACAGTAAATATTTCACATAGTTTGACGAAAGTACATATATACATTTGAATAGAATAAAATAACATTTACGACAAATAATTCCATTTAAAACTATCTTGATCTTGATCCAAATACTTTTTCCAGTACAGCAATATCATTAATTGTAACGATTTAAATTATAAAAATCGAGTGATAAATAGGGCTGTCAGAACTGAGCCGCAAGACATAGGCGTACGCATTGTTTATTAAAGTGCAACAAATTAAACTGTCTACAATACACCACCATAAACACCAATGGAAAGGAATTAATTACGCAACATCCGCACGATAACAAAGCAACAGTATACTAACGTGAACGTGAAAAGCATTCTGAGAGAGCGGCTCACACATGTCCCATTTGACCCGGTTGGCACGCCATCGAATTGCGGCTTTCTCTGACAGCCTTAGTGATAAACAACAAATCTCAAGGGCAATTAAATAATTTTTACACTACATTCGTCTTTCTTATAGCCTTAAATGACGTGCAGTCAAAACAGACATTTTTTCCAAACCATCCGTTTATTTTGTTTTAAAATAAAAAGAGGTGTTGCGTTAATTCCAGCGGATTTATGTCGTTTTACAGGCCACTTAATACCCTATTAAAAATAAATTCACGCCGAAATTCTCGACGCTCTAGCACCGCCGTGACCCAATTCATAACCCACATGTTACTTTAACGGCCGTGCAATCCGTATTTTATTCCTGGCTAATTTTAGAAGTCGGTAAGCCGATGGTTCAGCTCACTGACATTTCTGGGAATGATCGATTAGTCGAAAGGAAATTCTGCAGTGCACCAGTCACCGACGGGTCTTAATTGCCGATCATCTCGCGAAAATAATGTTTTCGGCCTTGGCGACCTTGATTTTTCCCAGCGTATTATTTATAGAGCAAGGTTTGCGGCTGATCGCACCGCTTTCTTCGCGATGGCCGAATTTATAACATGGATTTCGGCGCCTTAAGGGTAAAGATTAAGATCAGTGGAGCCGATTTAATTGCAGTATTAGCCTCGCGCTGAAAATTGAGATAGAGATCTAGAAGAAAAAGAATAATGACACCATCGATTACCGTTACAATTTTTTTTACTACTTTTTACAGTTTTACGCTTCCTCAGCCTCAACTAGAAATCTTTGACCTACCCTTACTGTTCTCGTGCTAGCCTCTGTGGGGGCGGACTCACTATAAGAACCTCTAGGCCGGCCCTGATGTTCATTCCGGTGGTTCTTCCTCGGATAATGGCGGTCCTGTGAAACTTTCCGTAATTACATTTACAGATGGGGCTTCGTCTATTGAGGCTTTAAAACCAACAACAAGAACGATAAGGAACATCAGAGCGGGCCTAAGGGTTCTGATCGCAGAGCCGCCCCCACAGAGCCTAGCTCAAGAACAGCAAGGGCAGGTGAAGTATTCCTGGCTAACGCGATGGAAGTACTTCTATTACTAACTCTGGCGTCCCTCTAAAACTTCGTCCGAAGATTCCAGCAAGCCAAACCGCATCTTTCTAGGTCGAGAAATAAAAAAGCTACGGGCTCTTCGCCAATTTAAAAAGTCACGTGACTTAAAACGTGATCTAACAAAGCCCATATCGTTTTAACCGTTGAAAATAAAAAACATCATATTTTAAATAAGTTGTAAGTTAATGTCTGTGTCTATCTACATACCTATTTACACAAAGTTTATTTGACTAAGAAACCAAAATGCTGCTTATTTATTCAAATTTTGTCTTCCCTTTCACAAAAAGTATTAGGGTTTAAGAATTCTGTGGAATACTGACAACACCGCATTTATATTGTAAGTCATCCTACAGTGAAGTCAGCAGTTCCAAACAAGTTTTCTATTAATAAATCATACACGTTTATTTTAAATTTGATTTATTTATTCCTATTTTTTTCGCGAAAAACTATAAATTACATGTTCTACACAATAAACTGTAACGCTGTTCCAAATATATGTACACGTTTAAGAACCACCCTGTATAATATACAAAGTGCCAAGAAAATAGTGCAAAAATTACCAGGACGAAAGTCTGCAAGAATAATTTGAATAATTTTAAATACAGTGTCGACCATTTTGGTGATGCACGTATTTGTATCTCGGAAACTATAAGAGATAGGAAAATGGTTAAACTGGGAAAGTTGTAGACAGTTTTGTTGCTAACTTAATGACGCTTGCAGACCGGTCCTAGCTCTTCAGGTTTTTCAGTTATTTTGTAAAAAAGTAAATGTGGCGTTTCCGAAAATCGTCTATAAATCTTTTATTTTTCTTTCTTTTCCATGCAAGTTTTTTTCGAGGAATTTCACTGTATATTTGAATTTTCATTGCGACTTTTCGAGAATCCATCATCAACTTTCGTTTTTTTTATGGGCGCCTTATTGAATTTTGAGCTGAGCAAATAGAGCAATTTTTTGGCTTTTCAATGATATAATATAAATAAAAAAATTTTCAAAAACAACCTCAAAAATGAATATTTTAATATTTTTAATAAATCTAGCAACACCGCATAAATTTTCGAAACCATTATAGAACAGTCTCAAATTTTTGTAAAAGCTTATCACCAATGTCATGGCGTTGTTCAGTTTCAGTACAATTCAACATGGCGCCCATAAGAAAAATGAAAGTTGATGATGGTTTCTCGCAAACGAAACGTCGCAATGAAAATAAAATTCCTCGTTGTGAAAAAGTGTCTCCAGATTATAAAAATTCCTTTAAATAAAAGAGTTACAGACGATTTTCGAAAATGCAAAATTTGGAATTATTTTTCTACTTGTGTGGGAGACGGGGCTGCATATTATTATTCGGGACTATGCGTGTAATACTTTATGGTGGAACTGTCCTTTTCGCACACTCAAAATCATAACTATCCTATATGGTAGGCGGCAGCAGCGGTATTTCGTAAGTCTTATTAAAATTGAACACTAAATTGATCTCCCTAACCCTGTCCTCGCAAATAACAGAAGGATACATTATATCGACGTTATTCTCATCCACGAATTCCTTCACCTTCCTCAGACACGTACAGTTGAAGGTGGGGTTCTCCAAAAACCACAGACTCTCGAGTTTACTGTCCGACATCTCCTCGGGGAAACACACGAGCCTGTTGGTGTTGACCTGCAAAATCCTTACGGTCCTATTGGCGAACAGCTGAGAGGGAAGCGTCGTCAACTTGTTACCGTTTAACCTCAAAATATCTATGTCTCCGGCTCCCTCGAAGGCGCCGCTGTCAATCTCGTTGATTCTATTGGCGGACAGGCGCAGCTTAAGCGGCCTACGTCTCGCTAAATTCCTGAAAGCCCTGGCCGGTATCTTGGTCATGTCGTTGTAGATGATGCTCAACTTGTACACGTTCGGGCTGTTCGTGAACCAATGAGGACTTATCACCTTGATAACGTTGTAGTTCATCTTCAAGATCTCCAGGTGGGTGTTGTTGTCGAACGCTTCATCTTCCACCACCGATATGAAATTGTTGGATAAGTTTATCTCTTTCACTCTTACGCTGTTGAAAACCCCTCGTTTTACGGTGGTTAACGCGTTTGAGCTAATCCTCAATAGGGTTAAGGTGGGGGTGATACGCAGGGCACCCGGGTCGATATCCGCCACGCTGCAGTTCAAAATTTGTACTACGGACAATTCGTTTTTTAACTCAACAGAGTCCTCACAGAGCCTCGGTATACTCTCGTTCGCTAAAACCAAATGAAAGGCGTCCTCTTTTAGCTGTATTTTACCAGCGGAGGTAACATTCTCCGGACCACTATCCACGGTTTTGTACACTGTTAGGTTATATGTTGGTATATGAGGGCAACCTTCGCACAAAACTTGGGTAATTACTGCGAAAAATACTGTAAGTTTATGCATGGTGCGCACTATCACGAAACTTCACTAATTTTTAGAGTTGACTATTGACTTTTCTGTATAAAATTATAAATAAAACCGGTCAAGGTCAGAGGTCCTAGAAGGCGATAGCCCAACAGCGATAATTTATCGTCAGTAATGTGATCGAGGGATATTTATAGATCAGTAACGTGCTCCCGAATGGAAAATAAGTTTTGCTGAATGTTTATTAGACGATACGGGTTTAGCAATTTAAATTTAATGCCACTATGTGTAGAAAGAAAGATAGATGTCCCAGGTCCCAGTACATTTAGTGTAAACGACGGCTATAACTACGTAACTAATTGAACAATCGATCTGTTTTTTTTTAAAGAAGCGTCTTTCCAAGAACTTTTAAAACCTGCTTTAAAAATTTTTATTTGATTGGATATTCACAAAGTTCTAATTGTTTATAAGTACAAAAATTCGACCAATGTTTAAACAAGCGCCAGAGCTCTCCTAATTGACGGATTCGAATTTTTCAAAAAAAGTTTGAAAGCTTGAGAGCCCTTCTATATGTGATTAAATTTTCAAGTATCTAAGGGCCTTGGTTTTTGCTGTGCAAAATTTTGAAAATTTACAATTTTTTTTTCAAAATCTGGATTGCAAAATTATTATGCAAAATCTATCGAACCGATTTTGATGAAATTTGGTGTGATAATTCTACTTAACATGAAGTTTTTTTGAGCCAAGTATAAAGGTCCTATACCCAATTTAAATACCCCAAAAAAATTCCCTAAAAAGTATTGTTTTTTAACCCCATTATTGCGATTTTTTCGATTTTTACCCTAATAATCATGATTCATTCGATTTGTAATTAGACATGATTTGTAAAAAATTTAATTGCAAACATTTTTTTCCTCTTCCATTTTCGCCTAAAATCAACTCTTGAAAAGATACATAATTAAACTGGAAGAAAAATATGACATTTTTCGAATTTTTTTAACATATTGTGCCGTCAAAAGTTAATCCCACGTTTTTTTTATGCGCATGGAAAAATTTTCATTTCTAGTGATATTTGAAAGCCAAAATCAAAAATCTCCGTGGATATACGATTCACCCAAATATGGCTTTTCGAAACATTTTGTTTTATTTAAAACGTTGAATTTATATACAATTTAAAGAAAAACAAAAAAAAATTTGTTTTAAAACTATGAAATTTGTTGTTAAATAAATTTTAATAAAGTTAAAAAAAAAATTTCTTTGGCTTGTTTAACCAATATACATCTATATATCTTGAAAACAGTATAATCACCGAAAAAAAAAATTTTTACTATAATATTGTATAAAATAATTACTTACAATGATTCAAGAGAATGAAAATTGAATATTGTTATTTTTTTATATTTCTATTTTTAATATGCAAATACTTTTTCATATTTAATAAATTTGTTAATTAAGAATACCATATATTGAGTTTTTGCAGAACCCTAAACATCACACCCAAATTTATTTAAAATTTAAAGAGTTGATTTCATCAATGATCTGAAAAATCCTAAAAATGTCAATATAAGTAAAATTGCTTTGAAAATGTAATTTTTAAATAAATTGTTTAAAAAAGTCGACCATACTGGATCAGTCATTCTGAATTTTCATTTACTGATACAATATTCTTGTTCAGAGACCTCAAAAACCCCTATAATGGTCAATTTAACTAAATTTACTTTGAAATTTGTAATTTTTAAATATATTTTTTAAAAAGTCGGCCATATTGGATCAGCAATTTTAAATTTTTATTTTCTGATATAATATTCTTGTTCGGCGACTTCGAAAACCCCTATAATATCAATTTAATTAAAATTGCTTTAAAAATTGTCATTTTTTAATAAATTGTTTAAAAACAGTCGGCCATATTGGATCAGCCATTTTGAATTTTTATTTTTTAACATTATATTCTCATTCAGTGACCTCGAAAACCCCAGTGGTATCAATCTGAATAAAATTGGTTTGAAATTTATTTGAAATAATCTTTGAAAAAACATGTTTTATTGTTTAAACAATTAAATAATAATAGCGTACAAATATAAGTTTATAACTTTTTTCTATGAGCCATTTCAAGACGATTGCAAGAGTCATTTCAAAGTCAATCTTGATTTTTTAAATAGAAACCCATATTTTTATTACAGGAAACCTTTTCCAGAAAAATGTTTCATACAAACGTTACGTATTTTTCCCCCTGCAATAAAAAACACGAATTTCCATTTAAAAAAAGGGTTGACCTTGATAATTGACTTCAAGGTTAAACTCAAGATCACCATTTGACCCCCTCGAAACCTGATAACTTTTGTTAGAAACATTTTTTTATAAAAGTCGGACTTAAAAAATGATGCAGTCTGGTACATTAAAATGGGACACCTTGTATGAACTTTCTCTAATGTATCTATTTGTTAGGGCGGTTATTCACGCGAGCTTTCTCTTTACGGTTGTATTTCCTATACGTACCCTAATTATAAACAGTTTTTACCTCTGTAATCTATGGTTTTTACAAATAATAACTCTGGAGACGCCTTATCTTACTAAATCGAGCGCAAAGATTACCAACGGAACAAGTCACAAAATAAAAAGTGCCGTCGAAGAAAATATCGCGTTTTATCCATTCCTACATTATACACAAATGATAATAAAAGTTGTTTTAAACTTTTAAACTATCGTTTACAGTCGCTCAATTAATATTATAAAAATAAATAAATAAATGTTAGTTTCTAACCTTGTATAAGGACCAACGGTCAGCCCTGGGGGAGGTACGGACATCTGGTTGATTTAGGTGTGTCCCATCAGGCCCCATCAAGAAATCTTTGTTAAAAATGCAGACACTGATTTACCACGCAGGTGCATAGTTACACTGCAACAGGAAAACAATATAAAATGTTAAAATTTGTATTGCCCCGCTAATAATGAAGATAGTAAAAGCTTATGAAACCAATAGTAATACATACGAAAAAGTTGTAAATCACAAAATTGATGTAACCAACAAAACAACAGTACTTAAAAAATAAACAGCATGTAGTAGCGTCACTTTTATCATTACTGTCAATAAGGAAAGACTACCTATCTTTTGTTAACTTTTCGACATCCCTCAAAATGCCGTCATGGCCCACTGCCGCCCATTGCTCGCGCTCAGAAAATCGCAAAATTTACGTGACGTTTTCCTAATAAAACAAATATGCGACTTATTACGTTATTCGTCGTGGGTAGATTATTAAAATTCGCAGACCCTTATAAAGATTATGTATCAGGCACACTTTCTAGCGTGGACGGGCAGATCTCGTAGGCGATTGGCTGATTTGAATATTTACAATTTCGCATGTGGTAGGCGTCCTTTTTAAAGTCTATAGCAAAATATACGACAAAATTAAAGCACAAGGATTGGAAATGAGTAACTGGGCAATTTTCGAGACTCCAAAAAACAAAAGTTGAAAGTGTCATTCTAACGATTAGGTTAGAGTACCTACAAATAAACTTATGCATATTTTATTTCCTAAACATGTAACAGAAATCACAAATACTGAATTTAGGTTATCCTTTTGTAGGATGTATTGCAAATATGTGTAGTTAGAGGACACAAACTACAGCCACAATAAACATAAACTCATTACAGTAAATAATGTGACGTAATGTAGTTGCTTATCCACTATGATAGTGGATAAAACATGTTTTCATTTATTTCTCGTTCAAATACCCCTTGAAGTAATTTAAAAGTTTCGCAAATCTTACTAGGAATCTTCACAAATGGATAGCTTTTTGGAGGGAAATTTTAAAATCGTTTTGTTTACACAACACCCGAAATCACACTTGAATCCAAACTAACAAAATAACTATCTTCTGGGACATACAAATACGTACCTGTAATTTTTTTCACTGTCACAAATGCAAAAATACCGAGACTTTTCATTCAGGTACTCAAAACCTCCTTCATCAAAAAACAACAATTGTGAGTCACTTTTATAAATACGATTCCATTTTTAAACATCACAACATACGCATACTAGATTTTTTTACACCAAAAACCGGCAGAGCAGCCAACATTCAGAACTTCGGCTGTGGATCATTTGTTTAGTTGCAGACGAATTGAAATTAAAGTGCATTGTTCTAAATTTGTTATTTGGTTCCCTAACACCTACATATTGAAATTATTGAAAGCTTACATTACTGGTCGATTTCGATAATTATTTTTAAGACTGGCATGTGGCGACATCTATGCAAGGCAACTTGAAGATAACTTGGTCTCTGTAGAATTCTAGATTCATAGAGATTTAAATTTTATAGGTATTTCCCGCGGTTTTATAAAGGTGAAAAGCGGTTTAGATTTTTAATTTATGACCTGTTGATGATGCCGGACGTGATGGGAAGAAAAATAATAGGAAGACTGTTGGATTATTTATTTATTTTAAGACAAAGAAAACAATTAGATGTTTCAAAATTATATTTAATTCTTACCGTCTTAATGTCTTTAAAAAGTGTATCAATTTGTTTTAATGAGACTAATCTACCAGATAGTATTTTTCTAAAATGCGTTACATAGGACAGCTTTAAAGGAATCATTTTCAAAATCCTTATTAACATGATCGTAAAGGTTTAAGTATTTGTTTCATAAAAATACTATTTAGATTTGATTTAAAATTTTTTGTCGATAATTTTGAACGGAAATATTTTTCACATCTTTTTATATGTAATAAGGATTTTATTTGTGGTCCACATCAAACCACTAAAATAATAATAATTTTGAAGTTACAGGTTTCTTCGGATCTATTTAAAAATAAATTTGAGTTTTGCGTTTTTTTTTTTTTGTAAATTGAATGGCTGTATTTTTACTCATATAACAAATTAAACAGTTTTATGTGTCCCAACACTTGAAAAAAATATAATACACCAGTGTTGGTATCACAATTTTATACAAATCTCAAAATATACACAGACACTTAGATCAATTTTTGCATAACTGTGATAATAACCAATTTGAGCCTTTAGCAAATTAAAAAATCGTATTATATGCTTGAGATATGATATATCGCATATTTATATTTATTTACGTCTTCTATTAAATACGAGTTTTGTTCAAAAAGTAACGGGAATTGTCAAATTGCGCGTGTTGTATCTTGTCTATCACCCATCGATTTTTAGACAACTTTAGTTTGTTTTTAGCAAACCGACGAGTAAGACTTGCCTTGGTGTTTTTGGCGATTTCTTGTGTGGCGAAATGTCGGATCAGAGAGTTTGTCTGATATTTGTAAGAAAAGACGGGACACGTGGTAGTTTATTTGTTAATTCTCGGAATAGATGGGCCAACTCAGATACTAATTATTGAAAAGTTAAGGGTTTTCAAGTAGGTTTAGCGTCGCCATAAAGTCGTCGAGGGACTAGTGCCTTTTGTCACCAGGAGTAATTTTGCAAAGCCGTCCTTGGGAGAAGGCCTCTTGACATTTAGCAATGTTTTTGAACAAGTTGACTTAGACCCTCGGTGCCATGTGTTGAGCATCTGGTATCAACGGTTGAGCCCATGGTGAAGTCGATATTTCTTATAACGTGCAAAATACGTTCAAAAGGATGTCTGTATTCCAAGAAACTCAAATGAATTGTTAGAATGTTGTGAGGAAAATAATAATTCATCAAATAGCTGGTTTTTAGGAGGATTTTTCAAGCTATAAGAATAGATTAAATAAAATTGACTGATCCGTCCCGTGTTACTATACGGAGTCATGAGAGGAAGGCGTAAGGTTACTTGTTAGTTCAGTTTAGTCACAATTTATACAATTGTAAGTTCAGTCCATTAGAGAACTATTAACGTGGTATAGTTATGCCAAAACGTCCCGATATTCAGTGATCCCCACAGTAAGATAAGAACCGAACCTTCCGAACATCCGAACCCAAGAAATGGGCGTGTCGAAGCGAAGTGTCGAATTCAGGAGAGATCTCTGGAAAAAAGGCAGTTTTCCCTTGGGTTCCACACTGAGCAGTCTACTTAGTTTTAGAGTCTCGGGTTAATTTAATAATGGATAGTCTTTCCAAATTTTGCTATAGATCTCGCATTCCCTGAATCTCGGTACGCTGTCGTTTTGTTCATCCAACTTAAGTGTCAACCTGTTCAGCCAGCCAGCCCTTTCGAGAAGTAAATGGTAAACTCTTTTGCAATCTAATATCGTTATGATACTGGTCATAAGGGTAGAAAGATAAATGAATAACCCCTTATGTTCGGAATTAAGTACAGCGAAGCGTTCAAAATGGCTTGGCGATGATACTATGTCACAGCCATGAGTTTATCATCAATACAGATGTTTTCGGGAATGCCAAGAAGACATAGAATATGAGGCGAGACCTGGTCAAACGTGAAGGTCCTTCTAACCGTTTTCGTCGACTACAAGTTTTGCACGATTAGCGTGAGACAGTAAGGAGGAAATGACAAGAACACCACAACACCATCCTATTCCCCGAACATGATCCTTTTTCCTAGTTCCCAAACTCCAACGGACGTTTTTCAACAATAGATGAGATTAATGCAAAATCGCAAACCCTGCTCAAGACGATACCTAAAGAGGCGTTCCACCAGTGTTTGTCAAACTGGAAACTACGTTGGCACAAGTGTATAATGTCAAAGGGGGACTACTTTGAAGGGGATGGGATAAAAATTGAGGATTAAATAAATACTTTATGAGAAAATTTACAATTCCCGTTACTTTTTTATCAAGCCTCGTGTACGATTTAGACACAGATATTTTAAATTGTCACATAAAATGTACCGTTTTGAGTTGTCCTAAAAAATTACTTTTTGTAATCTAGACATGCGTTTAGAAAATTTAAAACGACACGAAAATTAAAAATACGAAGCTTAGGTCTTATTTAATATCAATCGTTAATAATACACCACCTAGATACTAGTACAAAATGGAGAGTTTTCTATAAATATTTTAAAAATTTAACAAAAACGATATATCACCTAGAATCACAAGAAGAATAAAAACAACAAAAAATGTCGATATTTTTTTCTTGATATTTTATATCTAACACTAAAATATTGTAATCAACTTAAAAATAATCGTAAACAGGTAATGAACTTTATTTCTTATTTCTCCCTTCGACGATAATTCACACAAACGTCTGAAGATTTATTTGTACGCCCTGTAGACAACTATTCATAACCTGTTTCACAATTAAAAATATAATAGTCGAGACAATCACAAGTGCGACAGCAAAGAGAGACGACTGCTCGCTCTGTTTGATAAGTTTATTTAAAATACATGTAAAAACGCAATATGCATACTTGCAAGTCTATTATTGATGTACCTACAGAAAGTGTATTTTTTCTACATAAATAGGGAAGTTTCTAGGTAAGTATGCGCCGAAATACCTGCCACGAGAAATAAATTTCAACAAAAATCATAAATAAAAAAACACAAACCGTCTATTCTAAAAAAATTTGGACGTCCTATCCTCCTCCGTTCCGTCACTTCTCTTGGATCGTACGCCGCATTTAATACACTTCCGTTTGCAAAATTACAGTCTCAACTCTCACAGTCGCGTCGGTTGACCAGCAGCTCTTCCTACAAGTATAGACCAGGATCGTACCGAATTCCAATCTGGCGCAGGGTTTAGGATCCGTGACTAATTTGAGTTTGGAAATTATGGTCGGGATCAGCTGGAACTCGAAAACTACATCCCCCTGGCAATATTGGCATTTCTTTGGGGGATCTTGCAAAGGGCACAGAAGCAAAGGGTCGGATTCCCTGCAATATCTAGAAATAAAACAGATTAAAAAAAAATTGATGACGAAACTAATGCTTATACATTTTAAAATAAATTCAACGTAAAACTATTATCAATTTACCTCAGAATCTGACCGCTGTTAGCTTGTACCTTCGAGAGAAAGTGGTGGAACATCTTATCGCCATGCGCCGGGTTACTCTTCTCGTACTTTTCGAACCCGGTGTCTGCCTCCACAGCAGCGGCGCCTCCCCCTTCGGGACTACCCAAATTCGTCTTCTCTTCCTTTCTCTGTTGGTAGTCCTGTAGCAACTCCTTCACGTGCCTGTCGCTGATCGTTGAGGAACTGCTGCCTGCCGTCTCCTCCCAGACCGACATAAAGTACGAAGTGAACTGTAGTAGGGAAGACCTTCTAGAATCGGACTGAAAATTTTGACAGACGTCGTGAGGGAGTGGAGTCACTTCCTGGAGCAGGTCGACTATGTTGTGCTGGGGGAAGGTGGGGGTGTCGATGCTGATTACTTCGTCCTCGTTGCCCTCTATCTCGGCGGTGGCTGCGGGGGAGTGGAGGCGACCTACAGCACCGCCTGAAAAGATGTAGACCGATTTTATGAATAAAACCGGGGCAAAATTTGTCTATTTATGCTCAAATATATTTTTTTATGATATGAACGCCGGGGGCCTAATAATACACTGAACATGCCAATGGGGCTGAATTGAAAAACCTTTTTGCATAAATGGAACATTTTCACAAATAAAAAATGACAGAAAATGAAAAACGCCCTGTATATAAACTAATCGAAGTGTAGCTTTCATCATTTAATTTTTCTTGGAAATAGATCCCGAGATATTATTTCTGATTGGAAAATATTAGAAACCTCCCAAAAATATCGAAATTGATATTGTCCCCACTATAAAAATTTAAACAAGTCAACAGACATATTTTAACAAACGACATTGTTGCAAACAACTACTCTGTGGACCACAGTCTTGAGCAATATCTAGCAAACAGCAGAATCACCAGTTAGATATGTTTCGAATTTTTTAGTTCTCATTAGAATATCAAAAATCTCACTCACGTTCGATTACAAATATTTTATAGCATATACGCTATTTTCAGATGAATAGAAATTATTAGAAAGAAAAAAAAGCCCTCCCCGGCGGGGAATCGAACCCCGGTCTCCCGCGTGACAGGCGGGGATACTTACCACTATACTACCGAGGACGTACAAACTACTTTCTATATTTACATCACTCCGTTACGAGTGTTACTAAATTAATCATCTCTATATTATTAAATTGTCCCTATAATAATCTATCTCAACTCGACATACCCATCAAACAAATAGCCATTAGCACCTAATTATCAGTCTGTTAAACATGGAACTCTCTTTGCCCCTGTTCCGCAATGTTATGAAATTCGCTATCAAATTTTGATGTAAACCTAACCTCAAAATGTGAGCCGTCAAACCTCCGACTCCGATTGTGATTGTATATCTTTTAGTGAAAAATAAGATGAGTTCCGTGATAACAAACCAAAAAAACCCCTTGGCGGCAAAGGTGAACGTGTTTAGCCATATCAAATTCGAACACTTAATCGCGGGCATATCAGGTGGGGTAACTTCCACCCTCATTCTACACCCCTTGGACGTGATAAAGATTCGCTTTGCTGTGAGCGATGGAAGAATGCAAAAAACCCCGAAGTACAGTGGAATAATTAACGCATTCTCCACAATTTTCCATAAGGAAGGTGTGAAGGGATTGTACAGGGGAGTTACGCCTAACGTGTGGGGTGCAGGCGCCTCTTGGGGGCTGTACTTCTTGTTTTACAATGCCATAAAAGCTAACTTGCAGAAGGGCAACTCCGATATGCATTTGGCAGCCTCGACACACCTCTTGGCAGCATCAGAAGCCGGACTTATGACCTTGCTTATAACGAACCCACTCTGGGTTGTTAAAACTAGACTTTGTTTGCAATTTGACAGTTCAACGCAAGCATACAACGGAATGATAGACGCTTTAGTGAAGATTTATAAAGCCGATGGCATCAAGGGTTACTACAAAGGTCTTATCCCGGGAATTTTCGGTGTATCGCACGGGGCTGTGCAATTCATGGTATACGAGGAAATGAAGAAGTACTACAGTTGCTACTACAATCAACCGATCAGCGCCAAGTTGGGTACCGCACAATACTTGGCGTTTGCGGCTACTTCTAAGTTTGTAGCCGTCTCAGTTACGTATCCGTATCAAGTTGTACGAGCCAGACTCCAAAACCAACATTACTGTTACAAAGGGGTTTGGGACTGCATGAAACAGACCTGGGTGTACGAGGGATGGCGTGGGTTCTACAAGGGATTGGGTACCAACCTTTTAAGAGTCACTCCAGCCACCATGATAACATTTTTGACTTACGAAAACGTCTCTCACTTATTGCTTAGATACAACAATAGCTAGTTAGACACTTAGGCGATGTAATGTGATGTACTTTTAAGATTATTATTATGAATTATGAAAATAATTTAGATATTGTTAGGCGTCCTTTATTACTAATTTTAGTAAATATGTACCTTGTAACAGCTTATAAAAGTATACAGGATAAAAAAATTAAGTGCCATACCTATCTCGAATTATTCTATTGAAATCAGAATTTGCTTCATTTATTTTTAGAATTTTCAGACTTTTTACCTAAAAGATGTATTTTTTGCACTAAATAATCACAATTTCTTAAGTTCCTAATTGTTGTAATACATTTTTGTACAGGACGATCAATATATCGAGAATTTGTAACAGCCTGTATATTTGAAGTACAGTACGGAAAATTAAACACCGTTTCCCGAATTTAATTATCTTCAGTCGTTTTCAAGAAAAACATGTTTCCCAGATATATCGACCACCTTGTACATACTTTGTTATTTTATTAAAATTACTTGTTAAGTTTCATTGTTGTGACATTAACGTCAAAAGCCAAAGAATAAAAACTTTCCCTGTGAATCGATCCTGTTTTTTTATTTCACTTACCGTTAGCCCCGTTATTAGCATTGTGATCATCTATATTCATATTCCCAAACCCAGACCTTATGGAATCCTCCAATGAGCAACTCTCGTCGTCCTCATCGGAAACTCTTTCCAAGTTATTAATAACATTTCCGTTTTCTTCGTTAAAATTAGCATTGTTGTCGTCTTCCCAATCGTCGGCACCGGTGCACCAATCCGTAGTGCTGGTTTTGGTGGCGACCGATGTGGTTTCCTCAGTACTGTCCGAAACCTTTTCTTCGGTTTGCAAACGTAAGCAGAGCCAACTAGAATAGTCAACATTAAACTATGTAATAAATATTGAATGTGGTATATGTACCTTTCGCTTAAATTCCAGCAGTTCGGATTAATGCAAGCGAACAAATAGAGAGTTCTGTGAAAAACCGAGTTGTCTAGTGGGGCATAAATCTGGATCACTAGTGGTCTTGGCAACTGGCACAGTGGACATCTGGGTGGCTCTAGTTTAACATTGCTTGGAAAATCCTACAATAACATGTATTTAAACACTATTTTAATTTATAAGTATAATATAAATCAGCTATAAACATTTACAAATGTCACATGGCCTTTATAACAGACTTTAATAATTGTATTAACAACGGGGGTGTAACTCAGTGGTAGAGTGTCTGCTTCGCATGCTGAAAGTCCTGGGTTCAAATCCCAGCTCCTCCAACATAATTTTTTGCTTTTTTTTAATATAAAAATTAAAACCTATAGCTCCATACTAAATCAATAAACAACTCCTCGAAAAACTGCTTACCGGATTTCCACCTATCTTGTTGACAGTGAAATTAAGTTGTCCTCTGTACTTGTCGCTAATTATTTCATCGTCGAACCCTAACAACACGCATGAATTATTTTTTGCCATGCTCGTTGTCTACTAAATACCAAATTGTAACGTGGTATGGATACTGGAGAGACCACCACTCCAATTTAAAAATTAGTCAACATAAAATACAAGGAAGAAATTATTCTGCATAACCAAATATTGCGAAATGCCACCGCGCAAGCGCGAACATTACATTGTCCCCTATCGATTTTATCCATAAAATTAAAGGATTTTAATGATTTCTTATCTGGTTGGTAATTCAAATTAAGTACTGAGGCGACAGAAACACGAGAAAATGGATTTAAGGAGCTTCTAAAGCGAAATAGAATATAGGTTAGTTAAGTAAATTATCTACTACAATACCTACATAGAAATCATAGAATTTGTCAGTTTTAAATTTCCCGGACTTTTATCGTCAAAACTCACATACCTCAAAACTACATTTTCACATACTTCTATAGAAGTATATGCATATTTTCAATTCAATTCTTTTTTCTACTTAAATAGTTAAACATAGTGTAAATTCTTTCAGCTTGAAAGACGTTTGAATATATACTATAGATTATTGACATTTAAGATTGCTAATAACTTTTTCTTTAATAAACTGAAACTCCCATAAATTTGTATTTTAGGTAAGTATAGCCCCGACTTCAATTCAAATAATTTTAAGATCAATACCGATTACGATTTAAAAAATGTCTTCGTCCAAGGTATATAACACGGTAATGAGCAATACTGCGTAACTAATTCTTTACATTAGTTTGAAGTCAAATTTTTTATAAAAAATAAAATTAAAATTAAAGACTTAAGATTAGGATAACGTTACAGTTTACAGCTATTTGTTTCATTTGTACATAAATTATTTGTCCAATGAAAATTCGTAAAATTTTCTTTTCTCAATTCTTTAAACTTTTATAGATATATTTTAAAAATAATTCGTGTAGTAAGTGCAACACAGTAAATAGGTAACGTTGTGGCTCACATTTACTACAGTCTAAATGTGCAAAATCGTAACACCCTGTATAAACTTTCCTGAAAATGAAGGGGGATGGTTTATATCATATTTTTGCGATATTTTAAAAAGTTATTTCAAATTTACATTTACATGTTCTGAATTTAAATTTAGGGCAACTGGACACTTTACAGTCTTAATTGAACCCCATATTTATGTTGCGTAAGACTAGTTTTAGGTGTCCCTATTTTTTTATGTACTACCCTCTCTAAGCTTTGGATCGGATTGGATTTTTAAAAAATTATAAATCGTTTACTTATGTAAAATAATAAAATAATGAAAGAGTAATAAAAATATAAGAAACATTTATTTTCATAAATAACAAATTTTATTCGCACATTTTGTCATTTTAAGACAGCGTAACCACCAGATTCTTCTGAGCATCGGCACTAGGTTGTAAATCATTAGTTCCCAAACTGCTTCTATCGATTTCTTCCGTCGTTACCTGACTGGCCAGCAACATACTCATCATACCTTGCAACTCGGCCAGATCATTAGAAAGCTCCATCTCTTGATTGAGCAACTGAACCAAGTCCACGAACAATTTCCCTACTTCTGGCGGCAGCGACATAACGCTATCCTCGTACGTATCGATAAAAATATTTGCCGCGTCTATAAGCACCCTCGTGAACCGATAATCGGCTAGGTTACGTACGAAAAACCTTAATATCTGAATCAGGGACTTTGTATCCCTCCCCCTGAATGCTTTGTGTAACGCCCTCCTCCGTATTAACTCTTGCATCACGGAAACTGTAACGTGAGGGTGCTTTTTTACAACGTAAGGTAACAAAACGCAATCTAAAGCCTTCGTATATTCAAACTTCCTTAAATGGTGATCGTGTTTGGCTTCCTTATCGTGTTTCAATTCGGGAACTATGGTGTCTACAGTAGCAGAATGTGAATGCGACGCGAACTGATAAGCGGAAACTTTTTTCTGGGTTTTCTTCTCTCCTTCTTCTTCCCTTCTACAGATAGACACCAAACCGTCGACCAAACCTGCCACCAAAGTGTCGTCATTCTTCGATACCCCTAAACTTAGTATAGCGTTGGGGAAGTCCAATGTGTGAATCGTTTTAAATGTCGCCACATCATAAATTTTCACGTGCCTGTCCAAGCTACCGGACAACAACCTTTTATTGTTTGAGGCGAGCCTAAGGCAGGTTATGGTTTTGTGGTGCTGTGAAATACTTCCTAGAAGTTTCGCACCTGCTGCTGCATCCCAAATTTTTATTTCCGTGCCACCCGCTGATAAAAATATACCTCCTGATGGTAAAAATAATAGGGATTCAACTGGACTACCGTGATTAACGGAAGCTATTTCTGTTTCTGTACGAGTATCGTACATTTTAACGATATTATCATAGCCACCCGAGAGTACTATATCAGGTGCAGCAGAGCAAGTCGCACCAGCCCTAATGTAATCTGTATGTCCCGTAAATGTGCTAATATTTTTCTCTGTTGGTATATCCCAGATTTTTACACTTTTATCATCGGAAAACGAACCTATCTGAGGTTTCCCGTGCATAAAAACCGTTCTGTGAACTGGGGCTGTATGTCCTTTAAATAACCTAAAATTATATGCAATAAATTTTCTGCCATAACTATTTTTATAATTGTATTACCTCAGTAAGCTTTTTGTGGAAACATCAAACAACTTCACATTGGTCTCCTCTCCTCCTGCACAAATTAACCGACCGTCTGATCTGAACACTGCTCCATAAGCATTTTCTCGAAATCTGGACAAATTCTTTACTACGAGTTTAGTAATGGGATTATAGACCTGCACGCGGACCGAACAAGTTACTGCAAAATAATGAGGTTCTATAGGCGAAAAATCTATATAGTCAATAGGGCCAAATTCTTTTATTAACACTGGTACCTAAAAGAAAAGGTTATTAATATTTGATATAATAAAAAAAGTTTTCCGTACTCCTATTTTTTTCCAATAAATATGGTCCTGGGTTATAACAGGACCACTTTTTTTTAAAATCTTCGTATTTAACCTCTTGAAATCCGACATTTTTACTGGCTTATGACTATGTTAATAGGTTATATTTTTAATCTTTACTTTCCTATGGACACAGAATATCCTAACTACACAGAAGCGACAAAGTGGTTTCCCGCGTAAGCCGATTTCCAGTGCGCATGTGTAAAATCACCATGGAAACATGTTGTTTTTCCGTCAAAGAACCAAGCTTATTTACCAATCGATAATTCAATCCAACCTCACTTTTGTGTATTTATTATTAGTATTTATTTATTATAGACTTAGTGTAAATGATTAATATTAGTAACTATTTAAACAGACATAATATTTGTGATGTATCGTCGAGGGGGTTATCATTGTATTTGTCGAAGGTGCCCATCCAAAACTGGTAGAGGACTAAGCTTCTTTCCATTCCTGAAGACTAGAGTAGGTAATGTAATAATTAGCTATGTATTACAAAATTTGAAATNAAAAATCGAGTGGTACTCGATTATTGAGATCACTCGAGATATCTCGAGATGTTTACTCCCACCACTCGAGTGATTATTACCCTACGGTTGCACCCCAAAATGTTAGTGCATACTGCAAATAGTCACTGATTGCGTAACCTTTTTTTTAGAATAAAACGAAAAAGTGGTTAGGTAAGTGCGTGAGCTTTTTTTTTTAGCTACGCTTATAAGTAATATATGACTAATACCACAGAATTATAACACCAGAAGCGACAGTTCCGCTTCCCGTCAATTTTTTTTTTGAGTGCGCATGTGCGAAAATCGCCATTATTTTGTAGGTATTTCCGTCAACCTCAAAATATTTTATGTTTGATGCGTGTGTCAACAGTTATTGTATTTCTTGTATTCGTGCATAAATACTTTTTTATTTCTGTATAATATCATGAGTAGAAAAGGTGGAACAGTTTGTGTTGTTCGTGGGTGTTAGTTCGTTGTAGTATTATATTTTTTATATACTTAAATATAACATACCAACTGTTAAGACACATACTTGTATTTATTTCATATAAGAAAATTTGTTTGTATTTTGTAAATTTTAATTAAATAAAAATATCGCTTAAAAAAATCACTTAATTTTTTCATTTCCAACTTCTTTTTAAAAACAAAAAATAATCAGAACTGTCCAGGGCACAAAACGTAATTTTTTTTAGTTAACAACACAAATTATGATTAAATATTTTATTTTAATTTTCATTTATTGTTATCATCAACAATAAGAGTGTTATAAACAAGTACGTAATGATGCATGAAATAATGAAAATATATAAGTACTTGCTATATAATAATTATATTTATCTAACAAACTGTCACTATGCCTTATTTTATGAATGAAATATAAAATAAATTACTGAAATGAAGTACATATACCATAAAATTAAGAAGAATCCACACCATATTTATGTAAGTAAATCTCTATTCAATGAATAAAAAAAAGTTTATATAAACAACACAACTGATCGTTGTCACTTTTAAATTTGGCGCTTCTCTATACCTACAAAATAATGGCGGAAGGTCATCGAAATTTGATACGGCGAGATCAAAGGAAAAGAGCCGGCTGTCGCTTCTGGTATTATAATTCTGTGCTTACTTACATCAGCTCCACATCGACGTGACCCAAGAAATGGCTCAGTATTTTTAATTAGTGATGGGACTACTCGAATGAAAATTATCGATTATATCGATTATGAAAATCTCTCGAGATATCTCGAGTGGTCATATAGAATCATTCGATTATTCGGATACGAATGACAGTGGCCACAGCGATACTATTACCTGCACTCCTCGACCACAGAATATCCTAACTACACAGAAGCGACAAAGTGGTTTCCCGCGTAAGCCGATTTCCAGTGCGCATGTGTAAAATCACCATGGAAACATGTTGTTTTTCCGTCAAAGAACCAAGCTAATTTACCAATCGATAATTCAATCCAACCTCACTTTTGTGTATTTATTATTAGTATTTATTTATTATAGACTTAGTGTGAATGATTAATATTAGTAACTATTTAAACAGACATAATATTTGTGATGTATCGTCGAGGGGGTTATCATTGTATTTGTCGAGGGTGCCCATCCAAAACTGGTAGAGGACTAAGCTTCTTTCCATTCCTGAAGACTAGAGTAGGTAATGTAATAATTAGCTATGTATTACAAAATTTGAAATGTATTGAATGTATACCAGAATTATTAAGTATATGTTTTGATAATTAATAAAAATCTAAATTTATGTACATTATATACCTACCTAAATAGTATTGAATGAAATAAACTAAACAATTTTCTTTTAGAGCTTCAGCATGGTTGAGAGCGTGCAATAGAGAGGATCTTCTCGAGAAAAATTCAGAGACACATAATTATCGACTTTGCGAGCTACATTTTGAACATTTGTTCAAAGGTGGACTTCGGAAAACTTTATTTGTTATCTTTGTATAAAATGTTACAAATACAAGGTGGTCCGTAAATAATAGCCCATAGAGAAATACTGGATTCTTTACTTTTAAGATTTTTTAATAATAAAAACTTGTTACTTAAAACTTCTCATTATTTAAAAGCTTTACGTTACTCGTAAAAAAAGTTACGCTCACATTTACCTCTCACAAATGGCTTATGTGGTGCCCTCTAGAAAATACATCGAAATAAATAACAGATGATGCTACCAAAAAAATTTACACTAAAATTCTTATATTCTATAACGTAATTATTACCAAAATTTAATTTTTAACTTCGACACCCTGCATCTTTTTTATTATCAACATTTTATTAAGAAATGTTGGCTCCAATTGTAATATTTTGAGGTAAGGAATCTAGTATTTCTCTATGGGCCATTACTTACGAATAGTAAATAATATTATGTATTTAATATTAAAAAATAAATATTTTTTTTGTGATATTTGGATTTATTTATAACTATATCCCATTTACACGAAATTTTTAATTATAGTAGTAACAGACTCGTATCATGTGTAAATCAAATTAGCTTTTTTTTAATTAAACATAAAATCATGCCTTACATCGACAACCAATGTAATATAATTTATGTCCAAATTTATGCTATATGCTTTATGCCACAAGCTATTGGAAATTGTACTGGAATTATGGATTATATTATTCATTCATATAAAAATTTAAAGGCTTAACATCCCAAAGTAAATTTTATAAACTGTTTTTTCAGTATATCTCTGATAGTGATAACCTTTCTCTCAGTGTAACATGTTGTTCACCACCGTTCAAGGTCGAATATTTTCACCACGCCAACATCAAACGAGCCGCCGTTTATGTCGCTTCTGTGTAGTTAGGATATTCTGTGACTCGAGCGAGTGCGCAGATGTTTCGATTGTTCCAACGCTCTAACGAGCTACAACATCTCGAGATAAGACGGCCGAGAGGATAGATGAGACAATCGAATATCACCGCACCGACATACAAGAAAAAAGGTATGCAGGAATTTTATGAGTGGCATCGCGGGGGGTTAGATGGGAGCTTTATTTAGCGGGGATAAAAATTCATATGAATGAAAATAACACCAAATTATGTTTTCTATATAATTTTTTTTTTTCAAAAAAATCCCAAACAATGGACCTCTTTAGGCGGCGACTACTCATTTTAAACACATGCTGCTGAATCACTCAACTGGCAACGAAGAAATATGGAAGAAATGCCCCAATCCGCGAGTCATTCATTTACCTAACGTCAACATGTTTCGCATATGATTTGGGATAGACCGGAAATTTTCAAAGTGAACTTTCGATTATTCATTCGAATGATCACTCGATTATAAAATTAATTCGAACGGTAACCTCTCGATTATTTAATTCATTCGATTATTCCCATCACTATTTTTAATAGATAATCTTTACTCCTTGCCCAATGAACCATATACATACAAACTGGAATGGATTTATAAACGCATGTTTACAAATTTTTTAGATATGCAACTCGCGATGAGAGAGCGTTTCGTCTCTCTCGCACTCATAGACACTAATGGAAGTTAGGAGTGTCTTACTTTTAAAACGATTTTTTAAAATTCTAAATAATTTCTTCACTTCAAGAACACTTCAGATTAGCTTTTTGCGTTCCAATAAGCTGAAACATTTTATTTTTATTTGTTCATGTTTGTTTTCCCTGTCTCATGTTTTACTGAAGGGTATTATAGTCTCAAAATTAGCAGTTAGGATTTTAAAATGTGTTTCATTATGGTTTTTGTACCGCTGTTAGTTAATAAGTAAAATTTATATTAGGCTAGGCTCTGGCTTTTGGCTCACAATACTAAAAAGAAGTACTTGAAAATTATTTAAATATTTACCCGTTTTCCTCGGAGAAGTTGCGTTCTAATTGTTTAAAGAGTAAAATTGTTTTAAGGTCTGTTCCAACAAGAGTCAGGAAGGGTTTTTTGGCGAGAAAACCGCTAACCCGGTTAACTATAGTTTGGTGAGGTTTGACGTTTTGGCGAGAAATGTAGTTAACCCGGTTTGGCAGAGTTTGCCTAACCATCAAACCGGACTTGTGGGTTGGATTGGATATTAAGTTAATATTTCTATCTTTGTTTATTTATTTTCTGTTTCGTACCATCGTACCTAGTCACTACTTCGTTTTTTTAGAGGCTTGGATAGGTATAAGTTGTAAATAAAAAAATTTGATAATGGATTAACTTTGCAAAAAATACAAAGTAATATATTTAAAATTGATAATTAAAAAATAGTAATCGAGTATCCAAATAACTTTAATCGTAGATATGCATATTCTATATTGTACTGTATAGATCTTTATTAACTTCCTTTTTGCCGATACATTTACGTGGGAATAGATATTTGTGAAAAGGTAAACCCATTTTGATTTAATAATCATCTATACATTAACGTTATTTCATGGATGTGCATTTCAGATTAGGAATAACAATTATAGTATATAAGAAATAATCAAACAACTTGAGCTACGAGTACTATCATAGATTATAGGTTACGATTTCATTATTGATTAGATATCCAAACCAAAAGAATTTTTGCGAGTTCTGTCAAATGTTAACTCAAACTCTTAACACATTCAAACTCGAGCTAACCGGGTTTGATGTGGTTTGGCTCGCCAAAAAACCCTTAGGGATTGGTTCCGAATCATTTGAAATGTTTGGCCAGCTAAGTTCTAAATATGTCTTCAGTGAAAATATAGCAAGAATTAGTTGGATGCACATTTCGAACGGTTCGGAACCAATTCCTGACTCCTGTTGGAACAGACCTTTAGTTAGTATATAAAACAGTAGAAGAATACTACAGGTCAGGAGCAGTTCCGTGGCAATTGGAAAGGAAACTAGCTTATATTGGCAAAATGACAGTTGGGCGAGTCCAGTAGTTATAAGGTCTATTGTGGGCAGGGAGTAATAAAAACAAATAATTACACGATTTATAGGTGAAAAATTTGTTTTATGTATCAGATTTGAAATTATTTCATATTTATGTTCATTATTTTATGAATGAGGATTATTTGTGGAGTGAAATTTCCCTCTCGTTTTGGATATGATTACTATGGACTTCCTCCATTCAAAATGGATTCTACCCAAATTTAAAAGATTTTTTTTACAGTGAATAATGAACATTTACAGGATTACTAGGAAATATGTATATAAAAAAACTAGCGCCTTTACTCGGAATTCATATATATTTGTTTTTTAGATGCCCACTTTTTGTTTACAATATTAGCCCTAAAATGGACACTATTGTTCAGGGCCCTCCTGGTGAGGGGGCCCCAGTACAGGATATGAATATTGTGGATACAACAAATTGGAGTAGTCATAACCAAGGAATTGTAAATAACAATTCTACCCTTTTATATATAGCAGTAAGTAAAGTTAATTGATTTAAATTTAAACAAGCTCCAACTGTAATTGTTTGTTATTTGGTGTAATTTCTTTATTCTTACTAATAATTTTTGTAATTGTAACCTCATTTCAATTTGTGATGATCAATAATTATAACATTTTGAGGTATGTAATGATTACTATGACCAAAAACTGATTGTAAACAGAGTAAATGATTTTTAGGTTGAATATGTCAAAGATTACAAAATGGGAAGTCCTCGAAACAACGTAGATGTTACACAACCTGAATCCTATACGGATTTTGACCAACATGTTAGTCCGTTAGATCCTAATATGTGTTCTGTGGCTAGATACAGCCCGGTATATAATGAACAATCTAGTGAATTTAACCCTGTTGTAATCCATCAACTTGTCACCCAAGACACTAACACTCACAGTGAACAGTTTACTAACGACTTAAATAATGCCTCTCTCGAAAATATGCCTACCGTTCTTTGTAACGATAACTTGAGAGAAGTTAATAATCAGTACCTTCAAATGGTGGAAGAAAATAATACTAATATGGTAACTTCAACTAACACCGAGGGGTTGCAGCTCGCCCCGGAAAATGAACAGGAAGTTGAACTGCTTATTACCGATGAAGCAACGGGTAATTGTATAACTATTACTTTCGGCGAGAAATCGTATATTTTCCCTTTTGTAGGAATTTCTTATAGTGTGAACGCACAGGAACTTTTAGTTGAACGTTGCTTGGAAGACGACCAACTTTTGGAAGCTCTAGCCCCTGATCCGCTGTTAGAGTCCGATCTTTTGGCTTTAGATGACAGCACTTTGAAATCTGAATTAAACGACGACATTGACATTTCAACGGCAGTTACTACATCTGTCGATGCGCAAGTCGTTAATAGTTACATAAACAGCTTGGCGAGCGATGTGGCTGGCAAAAATTTAGATACAGAAAATGCTTTTAAAATGGAAACCAGGAGGAATAGACAGAATGAGCTGGACCCCGAAGAACAACTCTGTAAGTAGATTTTTTTCGCTTTATATACAATGTTTGAAATTCTTTCCATTTACGAGTCAACCGTTTGTTCAAATGAATGCTATTTGACAACCACCGAGGCCTAAAAGTATTTAAATTCTTACGATTCATTCGATATATATTTCCCTCACTCGAGAACTCACAGCTCGTATGATATTTGCTAGTTGGTTTGGCAACTATCAAGAACTAAAAGTATTCGAGTACTTTCAGCAAGCATCCGAGAACAGTGAGAACTTTTAAGAATCGAGTAGTACTCTATTTTTAATTCGAGTTCTCTCATTACTAGTGATGAGGACAAACAAGCCGGAAACCAGTATATGTATGGTGTGTTTGGCCGACGAATGATTCTTGTTATATTTGACATGATTTAACTGATATAATTCAAGGCTAGTTGGGGTATATTAACCTTAGAATAGTTGTACCCTGCAATACTATCCTTGAGTTTTGCAAAACCTTGTTATTGTGGTTCATTTATTTTCCAGTGTCCTGCGTTTACAGCATTACAGACAAACCTATTTTAACTAGAGCGCGAGCGTCCCTTCCCGAGTCCTACTTGTTTATCAATAAAATAAATGACGGTAAGGCTTTAACAGATGAACTCGGTCAACGTTCTCTACATTGTCTTTCTTTTTTGAATAGAGAATGCCGTGTTTGCCAAGAAGGCCATACCAAAGAGGAGTCAATTTGGCCCCCTCGAAGGAATTTTAACACTGAGGACGGAGAAAGTTAAAAACGAGTTGGCATCTCTGGTTTTTTTTATAGAAAGTGAGGGTGCGACTTACGAGATGGATGTGGCTGACGAGAGTAAGTACGTCTTGTTTCGTATCGAGCAAAACTTATAACAAATTTTTTTACATGCAGATTCGTCAAACTGGATGTGTTTTGTGCGAAAGGCGTTGACTTACGAGGAGCAGAATCTGGTAATAACACAAGAAAATAACGCAATTTATTTCACCACTACCGCTAACATTCTACCGAAGCAAGAATTGAAGGTAAATCAAATTTTTATTTGAGGAATCTATGTAATAAATTCATCGTTTATTTACTTTCAGGTTGGGTACAGCGCTTCGTATGCGCATTATTTCGATTTACCCCTGCTGGAACCGAGAGAAATCCACAATTGGCCTTGCTACGAGTGTTCTGAAAAGTTTGCTTCTTCCGAAGAGTTGCAGAACCACTTGAACGTTCACGACGAGGAGAAAGATGAAAATACTAGGCCGAGGAAGAAATCGAAGAACAAACGACGTTTGATGAAAAAATACCAGACGGAAGTGGTGGAGTGCAACGTTTGCAGCGAGATATTTTTCCAGTACAATTACACTTTGCTTAAAAATCACGTTGTGGAAAAACACAATTTCAGTCAAGGCGCTATCGAGGATTATTTTTCTGTGGTAGTGTAAGTATGTCGATACGTAACTATTTTTAATATACATAAATGTAACTTGAATTATACAGGGTGTCGGCAGTGTAAGTGCCATAGGTTTAGTAAAAGTAAAAAAAAAAGTTTGATACGTGGGTCCTAAATTTAAATGTTTTCAAGAAAAAAGCTGTTCATTTTAGTTCAAAATTAATCATTCCAAGCTTACAAAATAAATTAAACAAATTAATATGAACAATATTCAGTTTAGACTAGGCGTTATTTGTTTTGGTTTGGGTGAATCGTATATCCAGGGAGATTTTTGGCTTTTTGGCTTTCAAGTATCACTAGAAATGAACATTTTTCTATGTGCATAAAAATGTGGGCTTAACTTTTGGCGGCACAATATGTTAAAAAAATTTGAAAAATGTCATATTTTTCTTCCTATTTCATTATGTATCTTTTCAAGAGTTGATTTTAGGCGAAAATGGAAGAGAAAAAAAATTTTTGTAATAAAATTTTTTACAAAATATGACTAGTTACAAATCGAATGAATTGTGATTATTATTGTAAAAATCGGAAAAAATCGCCAAAAATGGGGTTAAAAACATTACTGTTTAGGGAATTTTTTTGGGGTCTTTTAATTGGGTATAGGACCTTCATACTTGGCTCAAGAAAACTTCATGTTATGTAGAATCATAACACCAAATTTCATCAAAATTGGTTCTATAGATTTTGCATAATAATTTTGCAATCCAGATTTTGAAAAAAAATTTCAAATTTTCGAAATTTTGCATAGCAATCACGTATAGATGGGCTCTCAAGCTTTGGAACGCTTTTTGAAAAATTCGAATCCGTCAATTAGGAGAACTCTGGCGCTTGTTTAAACATTGGTTTAATTTTTGTACTTATAAAAAATTGGAATAACTGAATATTCAATCAAATCAAATTTTTTAAAGCAGGTTTTAAAAGTTATTGGAAAGACGCTTCTTTTTAAAAAAAAAAACAGATCCATTGATCAATTAGTTACGTAGTTATAGCCGATCAAAATTAACCGTCATTTACACTAAATATACTGGGACATCCAGGCTAATTTTTCGAAAAATACCTTTGGTATTCCAAGTACTTACCAGGTCTAAGTTTGCAATACTTTTCTTCATTGACAACCTACTTTAAAACGTGTAAAGTTATTTATGCAAGCGAGACATTCAAGAAAATCGTACTGGTGGTGGTGATGTGGAAAGCAGAGAGCACGGCCGCTTGGGCCTGCTTGAAATTGAATCGGTGAGTTCAAAACCGCGACGCGCTTAAAAATTTTTAATATCTCAGCTTCTAGAGGTCCGATTTTAAGGATTTTTTTTTAAATCAATGTCTCGCGATTTAAAAAAAAAATTAGCGTATTTTCAAATGCCTATTGTTAATAATTATTGGTCTTTCAACAGTCCGATAATTATTTATCTTTAAACTTCCTTTAATTATGAACTTTATTTTTTTATTACATCAAAGGTAAGTGTGCATAAACTTATATACTGTTTATCACAGATCAAAAACAAATTTATTTAAATATTCTAAAATTGTTTAAACAATTATTTTCAAAATATGTGGAAAATTAGTAGTATGAGTTAATTTCTCATTTGCTTATATTTTAAACAATAAAATTTGAATTATACTTCAATAAAAAAAAATTAATATTAAAAAAAGAATCTTCCATTTCAATATAATATTGTTTAATTGTTTATAAGTACAAAAATTCGACCAATGTTCAAACAAGCGCCAGAGCTCTCCTAATTGATGGATTCGGATATTTCAAAAAGCAAATTGCAAATTTTTTTTCAAAATCTGGATTGCAAAATCCATCGAACCGATTTTGATGAAATTTGGTGTGATGATTCTACATAACATGAAGTTTTCTTGAGCCAAGTATGAAGGTCCCATACCCAATTTAAAGACCCAAAAAAAATTCCCTAAACAGTAATATTTTTAAACCCCATTTTTGGCGATTTTTCCGATTTTTCAATAATAACCATGATTCATTCGATTTGTTACTAGTCATATTTTGTAAAAAATGTAATTACAAATATTTTTTTCCTTTTCCATTTTCGCCTAAAATCATCTCTTGAAAAGATACATAATTAGATAGGAAGAAAAATATGACATTTTTAGAATTTTTTTAATATATTGTGCCGCCAAAAGTTAAACCCACGTTTTTTTTTATGTGCATAGAAAAATTTTCACTTCTAGTGATATTTGAAAGCCAAGAAGCCAAAAATCTCCGTGGATATATGATTCACCCAACTATGGACTCTTTGAAACAGATACTGTCTGGACTAGTTGTAATTCATCTATTGTTTTTATTGTTTCTCAAACTGTGCACTCCCTAGTCTAGTTGTCTATACAGGGTGTCACCCAACGAATATTACATACTTCAAGGGTATAATCTAGATACAGGGGTGTCCAACTTGCAAGGCCTCAAGGGCCAAAACTAAAACCTTTGATGTGGTTGCGGGCTATATAGGGTGTCTCATAATTAGCTGCCAACCCTGAACAGGCCGATTCTATGATCAAAACTAAGTAAAAAAGTTCATATGAACATGGGCCCGGGAATGCTTCCTAAGGGCACAGGGACCCATTGAAGAGGGAGGAATGGAAATAATTTTTTTGCAATATCTCTCAATCGCGTTGTGATAAATGAATGAAATTTGGTATACACAGCTAAATTTCATTCATTTATCACAACGAGATTGAGAGATATTTC